CATGATCATGTTCTCAACATCTATGACACGGCCATATTTCTTCATAATATAATTGAGATGAAGAATGGGTGTAAAAGCAATACAGAGGCATTTAACTGATGTTGAAATAAAAGGGCGTTAGAATGATGCTAAGAATGAGAGAGTCCCAGTAAAGTGACAGTGAAGATTCTATCAACCCAAGATATACCCTAGGCGAAGGCAGTTTCAGAGCTCCACACGATAATTTTACATCCATTTATATACAGAAAGACAGAAGTCACCCTCAGGAGACAGGATTACTTAGGAGAAAGAGGTAAATGATAAGTCAAGGCAATAACAGGGAATCAATCAAGGAAGAAACTTCTAGGGAATACGTAGAAACTTCCATCCATTCTACATATACTGTACATCCACATACTGTATGAGCACTCAGTTAGGAATGCTTTGACAGAAAGCCTACTGTGATAACGGGGACGCCAAACTTGAGCATGCCTCAGAATCACCCAACTCTGAGATGAGGATTCAAGAAGTTGGGGTGGGGATGGAGAATATGCATTTCCAACAAGTTGGCAGGTGATCCTGATGTTTTGAGAACCACGGGCTTATCTTTAAAGACATGTTAATTACCTTGTAGAAGGCGCAGATTGGAGGCAGGTGGCTTCTGGTTGGCTGTGGCTCACTTGAATAGCAAGGTCGTTTTCTGACTTACCTTTCGGACATCTTTGGGTGTTAGTGCCTCATCCATAGGCTTGTCCCCTCGTGGTCACAGGTTGGCTAACACAGCTTCAAGAATTTCATCTTCACGCCATCTCAGGGAAGGCAGGAAGAAAGAGGGAAGGACAGCACAAGCGTCCACTTCCTGAGGCTCTGTTTACTAATTCAGAAAGAAAATCTCTCCCAGAACCTCCTGCCAACTTTCCCTTCTCTGTCATCAGCCAGAACTGGATCACATGCCCACTCTCTCCTTACCCCGATCCCAGACCAATTATTGGCAAAAGGGATGGCATGACAGTTACTGCTTTAGACCAATGAGGACTCATCCCCTGGGGCAGGGGGAAGAATCTACCAGCCCTGAAATCAAATCAGGAATAGCTGTTGGAAAAACAAGAAATATTGGCCACCACAGGAGCCCACCTCAGCCAAGCAGCCTGCTAGAGATTTTACATACATTGTTTCACTTAATTCTCACGACATTTCTCTGTGGTAGGATTATTAATCCCACTTTACAGATGAGGAAACTGAGGCAGGAAAGAATTAGAATTTGAATTACCTCTACTGACTCCACCATCTAAACAACACCTTTACGTTGTGATGTCCTGCTGCCTCTTGTTTTCTCTATAGTTCAGAAAAATCATTGCTGTCATAACGACAATGCTTAGTTATGTACAAGAGGCTAATTTATATTCTGCTTACTGTATAGGATATGTGTGTACCATATTTCATGAGATTTGAGGCAAAAATTTAAGTTCTATAAGTACTTACACGGAAAATTCTGTCATGAAGAATAATGTAATCCTAATGATACCACATACTTTAATTTTTATTGTAATAAAGATCAGGCAGAGCGAGAGGGACGCTTCTAAAGTCTCATTGGGAACTTCTTGAGTTTTGTTCGCTCATATTTACAGGTAAGGGTAACTTATTTCACTTTACAATTATGTGTGTGGTGGGAAGGTCGGGTTTATGCTGGGCCTTAGAGGAGAGTTAGACAGAGAAAAGCACCATGGGAAAAGGCAGGAGAGAGATAGGAAATGGCTTAGCATCTTCAAGGGACAAGGGGTCCCGATTTAGTATGCCTGGGATTGCAGGGGTGGGGTTGGGGGTGGAAAGGGGTTACACATTCTACTCTATTCAATTCTACATTGTTTGAACTCTATATATCGTTTACAACTTGCATCCGTTTTGGTAAAGATATTTTCATTCTGAAAAGATAAAGCGAGAGAAAAGAAAGGGTAGAAGCCACACATTTTCTGGGGAAAACAAAGTAAATGAGTAGACTTGGAAAGAATGGGAATCCATTCAAGAGTTTGAAAACAAACAGAAGAAGGAAAGATGGATGTTAGCAAAGAGGTCAGCAATATTAGTGTTTTAAAACATATGTGTGGAAACAAAACATAGGCCCGTGACGATATTGTCAAAACTAGAGAAACTGACTTTGGCTACTATGCATATTAGTTAACTGTAGCTGCATAAAAATAACACAAAACTTAGCAGCTTCAAACAAGAAATATTTATCTTACATGGTTTCTGAGGGTCAGAAGATCGGGGCTCAGCTGGTGGTTCTGGTTCAGGGTTTTTCATGAGGTTGTAGTCAATATGTTGGCCAGAGCTACAGTCATCTGAGGGCTTGACTGGGCTGAGGATCTGTTTCCTAGGTCACTCCTGTGGAACCTCAGTTCCTGCTGGCCACTCTTCCCTACGTGGAACTGTCAAAGGGCTGCTTGTGACTTGACAGCTGGTTTCCTCCAGAGGGAATGATCCAAGAGAGAGAAAGGAAGATGACAACAGCACTGCCTTTTGATGACCTAGTCACTCCGGCTGCATGCTGTCTCTTCTGTTTTATTCTAAGCCTTGGAAATGAGTCACTAGACCCAGCCCACACTGAAAGGGAAGGGAATTAGGTCCCATCTCTTGAAGGGAGGAGTATCAAAGCATTTATGCACATGGTTTTTAAAACCACTACAGAACGCACAAAGAATAACATGGCTTAAATCAACACACACACAGTGGAAAAATAATTTAAAAAGAGTGAAGCATTTCCCCATAAGAAGTATGCCAACTGCAATTTCCAGACCATGAAGCCATTTCAATGTTACAAAATCTGTCTTAATATTGTCATTTGCTCTCTAATATTGTCAGTTATAACAAATGTCACTGCACAGTGCTTTCCACATTTTATTCCAACACCCAAGTGGATATTTGTCATGCCTTGTGGTTGCCAACATCTTTTGAACACCCTTCGTATGTCTGAAGAATCTCCTCCGTTTTGAAGCCTGCTTCCTAAGGTGGAAGCCAGAACTTTGCTGCCTAGCCTCCCTTGCAGCTAGGACCTAGGGATGGAACGTGTGTGCTTCCACCCAGACTGTCCCACGCAAGATGTCGATCTGGAAAAAAGCAGCATGGCCCAGAATCCAGCTTCCGGTAAGGAGGGAGGAAAGGACTCCAGTGATGGAATCAGACCCTGTTCTCTTCATCTCGGTACTCTGCTTTCCCCTGTGTCGGCTTTCTTCTCAGACAGCCTGTCTCTATGCAGTGCTCCTAGGGCTCTATGACAGTATCCCAGTTTATCAAACTCAGAATTGTCATTACCTATTGCTTCTTTAAAAAAAAAAAAAAAAGCAGTGGCACAAAATAACATTTTTATTCCTCCTGTAGATTCTGTGAGTCAGGAATTGGAAAAGGATCCAGTGGGGACAGCTTGTCCCAGCTCCATGATATCTGGGTGCTTAGCTGGAAAGATTCAATGGCTGGGGGGTCACCTGCCTGGTAGGGGCTGGAATCAACTGAAGGCCCATTCACTTTTATTTGTGGCAGTTAATACTGACTGTTGGTTGCGGCTGTCAGCTGCAACAACTACATGTAGCTACTTGGGCTTCCTCACAGTATGGTGGCTGGGTTCCCAGAGCAAGCATCCCAAGAGAACGAGGTGAAGCATAGCACCTTGTGTGACCTAGCCTCAGAAGTCACATAGCATCACTCTGCTGGAGACACGAGCCTTCCCAGATTCAACGAGGGAGAACACAGACCCCCACCTATTGATGGTACAGGTGTCAAAATCCCAGTGGAGGAAGACAAAGTCACGTGTGAGATGAGAGATACTATTGTGGTCCTCTTTGGAAAAATACAATCTGCCACACGGCCCACTGACATCTTCTCTTCTCCAACAGCTCAGAGTTACCTGTAACTCTGATTAGACTAACTTGTGTTCCGGGCCCATCCTCAAGCAATGGTCAGAGACATTTGATACAATCTTGGGGCTTCAGAAGAGGCACTACCAGGGGGCGCCCTGTGATGTGGCTGTGTTGTTCAGAACTGTCTTATACTAGGGCCTTGCTGGAGGCTAAGTCTGGGGTTCAATACAAATATGCTTCAAATAGTATATGGCCATTTCCAGAAGATCATGAAGAATCTGATGGCTGCATTGGTGGAAAAGTTCTGCAATGCCCTCAAGGTGTGGGCAGCACACTGAGGAGGCCTCTTCATGTTTTGGAGCGAGTTTGAACAGGGCTTCTAAACTTCAAAATGGAGATACGAGCACTTGCTTTACAAGGTTGTTAAAAAAGTTAAATTCGATAACACACGTAAAGAGGTTAGAGCAATGACTGTCACATAGTGTGTACTCAATACATTCTTTTATTATTACCATTTTAAGGACCTCGAAAGCCCAGTTTGATGAAATCTGAGGCCTCTAACAATTTGGTGTAATAAGATGGAGATCGTGAGTGGTGGGTGGTCTTCTGTGTCATCACCACATGGATCTCTAGACCCCGGCAGAGGGCAAGTTCCTCTTCTTCTCTTGGCAGAGCACGGCGAGGCCTTAGGAACGGGCTCAATGATCTTGTGTGTGTTCTCCGGAGAAGCTGGCCTCACGCTCAGTAGGAAGGACACAGCTGAGGCCGGGACACAGACGCAGGCCACTGATGCCTCACAACGTTAGGTGACAAAGTGGGTAGGGGGCAATTCGTTGGTTATTATCCAGAGAAGCTCTCAGGAGCAATAATGCTCTTGGTCGCAACTCTGAAAACCAGGGCAGCAGGCTGAGGAGCAGCCTCCACCGGTCATGGCAATGTTCCCAGATCCATGGAGCTCCAGGAGGTAGCAGGGCAATGGGTTTCCTACCGTGTGACCCCGGGGTGAGGAGCCAGTTGGTGAGGTCCCGCACAGTGAGTTGAACAAGTGCAGTCTCCAGTATGATGGAAGTTCTTGGTGAAAGACAGCGGCCGCACTTTATCAACAAGGGCGTGGCTGCCAGATGGTGGCTCAGTCCCCGGGTTCCATGATGCTCCAGAACACAGAAACCTTGGCTCTGTGGTCCTGGGTGGTGGGGAATGGAGTGGAGGTCCTGGAAAAGGAGTTGACAGAGCGAACTGAATCTCTTATGCACAGAAAGGAAGAAGAGCATTGCAGAACAGTTAGGAGAAGACCAACATGTAAGTGCACGGGTGGGTCGTGGGAACAAAGAGGGACCCCCCTCTCCCCGCAGCAGAGGCGGCGCAACGCGGGTGCTGCCTGCAGCCAGCAGGGAGGGCGAATGGTGCCCCCCTCCTGGCACGTGGCCTGGCGCAGTATAGACGCAAATGTCTACAAAGCTTCCTTCCCGTGCGACTTAAGAGGAAAAGCAGCTTCCAGGTACAGGGGTCCCAGAACTCTGCCGCTGCCCATGCAACTCATTCCCTGAGGTTTATTCTATTTAGTACAAACCAGCCAAACGCCCCCCGCCCCTCGGCTCCGTCCCGGCACCACCCGTTCCCGGCGCCTCCAAAACGTGCTCCTAGGAACCCAGAAGTTTACTCGTGTGTTTGTTTCCCGCGCCCGCGCACCTCGAAACCGAAAGCAGAACAGGCAGGGCCCGACGCGGGCCGCCGGCGGCGTGCCGGGCTCGGCTGCAGTTGCCCTCGCTGCCGCGGGGGGCCGGGCCGCCGCGAGCTCCGGCGGCGGGAAGCGGGGCTCGGGCCTGGGGGCCGCCGCGCTCGGGCCGGGAGACCGGGGGGCGCGGCGGCGAGGGCTCCTCGGCATTCCCGAAGGAGGCTGCGAGGCGGACGGTGGAATTCGGCTTGTAGGAAGAGCGAGAGACACACCGTGCGCCTGCACCAGGATGGCCGAGTGGTTAAGGCGTTGGACTTAAGATCCAATGGACATATGTCCGCGTGGGTTCGAACCCCACTCCTGGTAGATGCTCCGTTTTTTTCTCCTAAAATTTTTATTTGTTTCTTAAATGGAAATTTCGCCCAGCACACCACGCCTTGGACTCAGGAAATCCGTCTCCTGCCTGCGAGAGGCACAGCGCGGCTCCGCTTCCCACGGCCAGAGGCGCCGCCGCGGGCGGGTCCCCGGGCCTGGCGGGCGTCCGGGCGGCGCCGGGGTGCAGGCCTCGGTCTCCCGGCTGCAGAGCTGGAGCCGGCCGGGCGGGGCGGGCGCTTGGGACTCGGCAGCGTGGTTCGAGAACTGCCTCTGCGGAGAAGTCAAAGAGACTTTTCTTCTTCCTTTTTTTTCGCCCAAATTAATTGTGTGCACACAGTTCTTCCATTAGCTCCTTGACAGCGGAGACAGTGTGCATCATAGCGCTAAAATGGACTCTCACGTGCGTTCGGCTTAGAATTTTAAAATACTAAGGGCATGGTCTGATTGTTTAATGCTTTTAAAAAAGGAAAGTAATCTAAAATCTAGAGGAGAAAAGTTGCAAGTACAGCGCAAAGAATCTATTTTTAATCTAATCTTTTGAGAGTAAGATAAAGACTAAATGCTCCAATACAACCATTAAAATCAGGAAATTAACATTGATAATTTACTACCATCTGATTTGCAAACCCCATTTTATCACCATTTGTCTAAAGTAAAAGGCTCCTGTTCAGAATAATGTGTTACACTTTCTCGTCACATCTCCTTACCCTTCTTCAAACTGGAACGATTCCTCAGTCTCTCCAGACTTTTCGTGATCTTGACACTTTTGAAGATGACAGAGCAAACGTGTAGAACGTCCGTTTGTCAGTTGGCGTTTGTCTCATATTTCCTCGTGATCGGAAGCGATGCTTCTTTAGCATCTTAGGCCATCCTCCTTTAGCGGGACTGTGGCAGGAGTGATGCTGTGTGCACGTTGCATCCTCCCAGGTGGCGGGATTTTGATGTGGGCTGTTACTGATCTTAACTTAATTCACTCGGTTAAGCTTCTCTGCCAGCCTTCTCCACTGCGAAGTTACTCTTTTCCTCTTTGTGATTAATACTTATTTTGAGGGGAAGTGCTGTGAAGCTATGTAAATATCTCATTACTCATCAAACTTTCCATTTTATTCAGTTTTTTATGGAATCATAAGTTATGTAAGTATGCACCCATGCAGGTATGCACCTATTTCAATTAATAGTTACAATCTACTCTAGAATTGTTTTATTGATGCCTAGAGTGTCCCAGATTTGGCCAGTGGAAGTCCATTCAACCTGACTTTTGACATGTCTCTGTCACTCTTTAGCACTTCCCTACTTTCTAGTCTGTGCTTACCGTATGTGTTCCCCGACCTGGGCCTAGAATCAGCCATTTTCCAAAGATCCCTGGTTCCCTTTAGTGCCGAAGGGTAGTTAGAAACCAAGATCTCAGTCTAGGTGTGCTTGTGGCTTTTGATGTGTTACTGTTCCCAGGCCCTCTCAGTGGACAGAATTAAGCAGAGTGTCTATGTGAATACACATCTATATTTATCTATCTACATATTTATCTTTATGTCCAGGAGTTCGTGCCAACGCCTCCAGTTCCCGTCTAACACTACTACTTGTTCTAGTTTTTCTGTCTGTATTTGTAATTCTCAAAACTCCCACCAGCCCAGTGTGACACCTGCCTTGCTTGGGCCCATCTAATGGATTTAGATTGAATTGTTCAAGAAGGGAAGGAAAGAGGAAAATAAAGACCATCTAAATAGTTTGGAAAATAGCATCCTGCCAGCACCTAGAACTGGATATGAGCTAGTCACCGTTAGGCACTTGGGATGTACGGACAAATAGTCCAGCCTCTGCCTCAAGGAGCTCAGATAGTGAGAGACAGAGGTTTTAATGAACCACATTTATAATGAGAAAATATGGGTTATGCCCAAGGTGCTAAAGGAGCAGCGTGCGAAGCCCAGCTCTTCCCCAGAGAATCAGCTTTAGTTGAGAACTGGAGGAAGAGGAGTAGGGCTTGGCGGGGGCGGGGGCTGGGGGAGGTTGGGGAAACCATCTTGAAACCATGTTGAGTGCGGTGCCTGGAGTCCACTGAAGGATTGGAAACAAGAAGCAATCTGATTAGTGCTGCATTTGGAAGTATCTGTGTCTATCGATGTAGAAACTCTTGGTCCAACTATACATGCTCAGGACGGGGGCATGTTGAATCGGCAGAAAATATTTTTTAGGGAAAAATCATTTAGTTCCGTCAATAGCCAATTAGACTGAGCTCAGTGTCTGTCTCTCCCCCTCCTTAAAAGCTGAGGAACAATATTGATTTGAAGCCTTTTCAGCCTGAATGCAAGGGCTCGTATTAATTTGTATTAATATGTTCAAGTGCAAATATGGAAAAATCCTGCCAAGAATAGGCAAACAGCAGTGTGGGTTTTTACTTTGTTCCTTTAAAACTTATTGTCAATCAAGCTTCCAGTCAGCAGTAACCAGCTACTGTGCTCTAGCAGAGATGGTAAAAGACCAGTTGGTATTCGCCTTGAGCTTGCTGAAATTCTGACAAACGGATCACTGAGAGGCCACAAAGAGAGACGAAATGATGGCTGAAAGCTGCCAGTCTAGAAACAAGAAAATCTGTCAGATCCATCCTAGGGCAGTGACCCACAAGTTGTCAGTTGATCAACATATATGGCCTACTTAACAGCAGTCTTTTTTTTTTTTTAATAACATGGATGTATTGACCTTTGTGTTTCCTGCTGTGTATTTGGGTTTAACTCCTATGGCATGAAGAAAGCTCTTCTTCTTCTTCTTCTTTTTATTTTTTTTAAGATATGCCTTTTGGTGAGGAAGATTGGCCCTGAGCTAACATCTGTTGCCAGTCTTCCTCTTTTTTTTTTTTCCCTCCCCAAAGCCCCAGTGCACAGTTGTATATCCTAGTTGTAAGTCATTCTAGTTCTTCTATGTGGGACACTGCTGCCGCATGGCCTGATGAGCCGTGTGTATGTGCGAGCCCAGGATCAGAACCGGTGAAGGTCGGGCTGCCAGAGCGGAGCTGGAGAACTTAACCACTTGGCCACCAGCTGGTCCCAGCAACAGGCTGCCAATTTAGATGGGATCTTTTGCTTTACTGTATCCTTCTCTGCAAAATGTTTTGTCATTGATTTCTCTGGTTAGCAGGATTCTCTAGTGAGCTTTAAGCTGATGCAGCAACTTTAAGAATATTATTCAACTTACAAAAATTCAAATCACAAGGTTACTCAGTAGAAAGAACCCAGGCTTTGGGGTCAGACAGACTTACCCACTTTCCCAGGTTACCAGTCTTCTTTTCCTCATTTGCAATCAGAAGAATAATTTTTACTTCCACAGAGTGCTTGTGAGGCTGTCACATTCTTCTCACAAAAGTAGGTGTTTCATAACTCTGAGCTCCCTTCCCTTTTCTGGAGCCATCCTCCGTAGGACGTACAGTGGAACTACACTGTGCACATCGGAAGACGTCTTACCTTGCATGCGTAGACCAATTTGCAGTTTTCAAAACACTTTAACATTTGCAATCTCCTTTGATAGACAGGATCATGCACCCAGACACGTTGTGCCTAGGTGGTAGATACAATTAGACACAATTTTCCTTAATAAATTTAAAAAGTAATGTTTTCTTTTGCTCAAAATTACGTATCTAAAGCTAGAGAATATCTGTAGTTCTTAAACATTGATATCCTGTCCTAAAAAGTAGCAGAATCTTTACTTTCCCTTGAAAAGTAGACCTGTTATAGTAGACTCGTTTTGTTGAAAAATTCTTAAAATGTTTTGAATTTAAATTTAAATCATCCGTAGGTGTACCACTGCTAAGCTTAGAATGATTTTCCAGTGATTTCTTTAACAATAAGAAATTAAGTCAGTACTTTGAATTATAAGTTAAGAGTATGGGTTTATAAGCATTCTCTTTATGGATTTGAACTAGTTGTAAGTTATTCAAAACTGCTTAATTATTTTCTATTGGACTTCTTTCCGTAGAACTCTGTAAGAAAAGTGTTGCCATTACATTTAAACAGTGACATCTACTGGTTAATTTGAGGCAAATTTATTTGTTAAATTCTGTCTGCCTTATTTTGACTGTAAAATCCTGATAAATTGTTGTTCCGCAGTTTAGGAGCACATTTACAAGTTTAGGCTCCTTCCACTGTGTCTAGGGGCCCGTGAAGGCTGTGTCTAACCCGGCCAGTAAACTTTCTTTTTTCTCTCTCAGTCATTAATGATAAAATCTGCCATTGAAAAGAGTCCCAAATCACAGACACAACTC